TCTGCTCACACCACAATGGCATAATATTAGAAATCAACTACAATAAAAACAATAAAAAAAATTCAAACACTTAGAGGCTGAGTAGCTTGATATTAAACAATAATTGGATTACCAAAGAGATCAAAGAATAAATAAAAAACCTCCTAGAAACAAACGACAATGAAAATACAACAATCCAAAATCTATGGACACAGTGAAAACAATAGTGAGAGGGAAGGTTATAGCTCTACAGGCCTACCTCAAAAAAAAAAAACCACATGTAAAACTGGTAATAAATTATTTTACTCTACAAATTAATGAATTAGAAAGTGGGTAACAAGAAAAGCACAGAGAGAGCAGAAGGAAGGAAATCCTCTTGACAAAAAATCAGCAAAGATATACCAATCCTAAATAACTCACTAGATCAGATGGAATTAATTGACATCATCAGAACATTTCACTCCAAAGGCACGAAATATACGTTCTTCTCAAGCACACATGGGACATTTTCAAAGATAGACCACATTTTGGGACACAGGCAAAGTCTCTCCAAATTCAAGAAGATTGAAATAATATCAATCATCTTCTCATATCACAATGGCATAATACAAGTCAGAGAAATCATATCAAGCATCTTTTCAGATCACAATGGCATAAAACTAGAAATCAGCTACAATAAAAAAAATCCAAAAAAATCAAACATATGGAGACTAAATAGCATCTATTAAACAATGACTGGGTTACCAGAGAGATCAAAGAAGAAATAAAAAGAATCACGGAAACAAACCACAATGAAAACACAACAATCCAAAATCTATGGGACACAGTGAAAGCAGTCTTGAGAGGAAGTACAAGCCTTCCTCAAAAAAACAAGAAACAATGGTAATAAATTATCTAACCCTACAACTCAAAAAACTGGAAAGAGAGCATGAAAAACCCAGTGTAAGCAAAGGAAGGAATTATTAAAGATCAGAGTGGAGATAAGTGACATAGAGCCAAAAAAAAAAAAAATACAAAAGATCAACAAAACCAACAGCTGGTCCTCTGAAAGAATGAACAAGATTGATGAACCTCTAGCCAGGCTCACGAAGAAACAAAGAGAGAGGACCCAAATAAACAAAATCAGAAATGATAGAGGCAAAATAACAACAGAAATACAAAGGATTGTAAAAAAATACTATGAACAACTGTAGTCCAACAAACTAGACAACCTAAAGGAAATGGACATATTCCTAGAAAAAAGCAAACTTCCAAAACTCAATCACGATGAATCTAAAAATCTCAATAGGCCAATAATTATGAAGGAAATTGAAGCAGTCATCAAAAACCTTCCAGCAAACAAAAGCCCTGGACCAGACAGCTTCCCAGGGGAGTTTTACCAAAATTTGACCCAGTGATCCCACTTCTAGGAACATATCACAAGAAACTAGAAATACCAATCAGGATGGATATATGCACCCCTATATTCATAGCAGCACAATTTACAATAGCTAAGATTTGGAAACAGCCTAAGTGCCCATCAGCAGATGAATGGATTAAAAAACTGTGGTACATCTACACAATGGAATACTATGCCGCTATTAAAAAGAAGGAACTTTTATGATTTGCAACAACATGGATGGAACTGGAGGGAATTACACTAAGTGAAATAAGCCAGTCAGAGAAAGATAAATATAACATGAGCTTACTCATATGTGGGATATAATGATCAACATAATTTGATGAACAAGAATAGATAGATCTAGAGACAAATGGTAGGGAAGGGGGTAGTTAGAGAGCAACCAAAGTACTTATATGCATGCATATTAGCATAACCTATGGACACAGACACTGGGGCAATGGGGGCTTGTCCAGACAAAAAAGGGATGGGGGAGGGGGTTAATTGGGGGAAAAGGAGACATATGTAAAACTTTAGACAAAAAAAAACAAATAGTGGTACATCTACATGATGGAATACTGTGCTGCTGTAAAAAGGAAAGAACTCCTACCATTTGTAACAGCATGGATAGACCTGGAGAGCATTATACTAAGGGAAATAAGTCAGTCAG